CCATGTTTGGTGCCCCAGTATTTACAATTGTTATGTCTTCTTTTGGATTGTCCCCTTTATAATTTTATAATGCTTCTTTTTCTCTTTTGATAGTTTTTGTTTAAAGTCATTTTGTCTGTTACAAGTATTACTGCTCTGGTTTTCTTTTGACACCCATTAGCATGATAAATGTTTCTACATCCCGTCACTTTCTATCTGTAGGTGTCTTTAGGGCTAAAGTGGGTCTCTTGTAGGGAGCATATAGATGGGTTTTTTTTTTTCAATCCATTCTGACACCCTGTATCTTTTGACTGTAGGGTTTAGTCCATTTACATTCAAAGTAATCATTGATCGATATGTATTTATTGTCATTTTATTACTTGTTTTTACTTATGTCTGTAGATTTTCTCTGATTCTTTCATGTTTTGTCTCCTTTGTTCTCTCCTTTGACTCAGAGAGTCCCGTTTAGTATTTCTTGCAGGGATGGTTTTGTGGTCATGAACATCTTTAGTTTTTGTTTGTCTAGGAGAAACTCTTTATCTGTCTTTCTATTCTGAATGATTGCCTAGCTGGGTAGAGTATTCTTGGCTGCAGATTTTTTCCCATTCGGGATATTGAATATTCAAGCCACTCTCCTCTGGCTATCTAAGTTTCTGTTGAGAAATCTGCAGCTAGTCTTATGGGTCTTCCCTTGTAACTTAAGGGCTTCTTTTGTCTTGCTGCTTTTAAGTTCTTTTTCTTTGTGTCTATATTTTGCAAATTTAATTACAGTATGTCTTGGTGTTGACCTGCTTTTGTTGATTTTGATGGGAGTTCTCTGCCTCCTGGATGTGGACGCCCATTTCCTTCCCAGATTAGGGAAGTTTTCAGCTATTATTACTTCAAATAAACTTGCCACCCCCTTACTCTTTCATCTTCTGGGACTCCTATAACACAAATGTTATTATGTTTGATGGAATCACTGAGTTCCCTAAGTCTATTGTCATGTTGCATAATCCTTCTGTCCCTCTTGCATTCAGCTTCATTATTTTCCATTATTTTATCCTCTAGATCACGAATTCATTCTTCTGCTTCTTCCATCCTGCAGTTCCTTCCATCAAACATATTCTGAACCTTGTTTATTGCATTCTTCCTCTGTGATTCTCTTTTAACTCTTTTATCTCTGTGGTAAAGGTCTCACTGATGTCTTCTATTCTTTTCTCAAGCCCAGTGAATATCATTATGATTGTTGCTTTAAATTCTCCATTTGGCATGTTACTTATATCTGTTCTGCTTAGATCTCTGGCTGTGACCTTTTCTTGTTTCATTTGTGATAAATTCCTCCATCTTGGCATTTTGTCTAAGTCTCTGTCTTCTTCTGTGTTAGAAAAGCCAGTATGTCTACTGCTCCTGAAAGTAATGGCCTTAAGAAGAAGTCATGTAGCGCCCAGGGCCTGGTGCTTCAGGGGGTGTCTCCAGTGTGTGCTGTGTGTGCTCTGCTGTTGTGTTTTGGCTGCTCTGTCCTTCAGGCCAGTTGTCTGCAGAGGCTTTCCTTGTCTTCAGTGGGCAGTGTTTGTTCCCTGGCCTGAATGTGGTGAGTTTTAACTAGGTGTACTCTGGTCTGGTCTGTTCTTGAAATGAGACCTGACACCAACTCCATCAGAACCGAGGCCCTGCAGAACTCTCTGGTCAGGAAACGTGGTGTGGGCAGGGGTTTGTGCTGGTCTTTGAGGGGCAGGAGCCCACTGTGCTTGGATTGAGGCAAGCTTGACTGAGAAGGGCAGTCCTGACCAAGGGCACGGGGTGAGGCCTGGTGTAAGCAAGTTAGGCAGCCCGTGTCAGTGCTGTGCTACTTCCCACAGGTGGCTCTGTGTTTATGCTGATGGGCGGAGGAAGGAAGTGGTGGCAGAGCGGGCGCCTTTGTTCCCAGGGAGGCTTCTCAGGTGAACACTGCCTCTGAGAAGAACAAACAATCTACCCCCTGTGTGCCCCAAGCATTCTTCTCAGATCACTGTTTCCAAGCTCTCTGCCCCAGGGTTGTCTGCCTGCCTTCTCTCCAGGAGCAGTGCAGTGCCCTCCAGGCTCTATCCCAGCCAAACCCTCTGACCTTTAAAACTCTAGGCTTTAAGTCCTACTGGTTGTAGGAACTCATGAAATTCATCCCCTCTCATTTTCCAAGCCAATGGCTTTGGGAAAATGTTTTCCTTGTGCATTCCCCTGTGTGTGAGCCTAGAGTCCTCCTACTCTGCCGCCATCTTACTCTCCTCCCCATAGACTTCTTTATCCAAAATGAGAGAGGTGCTGATTATCATTACAATGGCAATCATATTACAATATGTAAATGTATGAAATCAACATGTTGTACACCTTAAATTTATGCAACGTTATATGTGAAATATACTTTTAAAAATATCAAAGTAAATGGAAACTTTAAAAAAATATTAAGAAAAATCAGAGATGATGACTTTCTTTTCAAGAAATAAAAAAAAAAAAAAAAAATCAAACCTGGAGTCCCTCTGAAACTCATAGATCACAAACCCAGAAGAATATAGGGCTAGTTAAAACCCTGATATGTGACATGCATATATATCTATTGCCTAAGGATGATTTATATCATGATGATTATGAAAGGTTAAAATAGATTATTTGTATTTAGTTTTTACATCAAAAGCCACTCTGTTGGTCAGATTGGCTCTCTTTCAAATTCTTGCTATGACACTAATTAGTTGTGTGACTATAGAGAACTTAGCCTTGCTAAGCCTCAAATTCCTCATTTGGAAAATGGAATACTCATAATTACCAAATAGAGTCATTATATGAATTAAATGAAATAAAGAATGTAGAAGTGGTAAAAGAATAGTTGCAATCATTATAATATTGTTAACTTTAGTGTAATCTATGTTTTAATGACTGGTAACCCATATATATAGAATGTAACATATTAGTATATTTATATTGATATATTGACTATAATATGTGACTATTGAATGCACACCATCCCAAGTTTGCCAATAACACCTATACTGTAATATATAGTTGAGAACTTCTATTACCCAATGTATAGCATAATAATATAAATAGCTTTGTTAAGATTTAGGTAAATTTATAGATTAGATATCCCTGACAAAATTATTAATGGAAGGAGTCTATAAAATACAATCCAACTGTTTGAGATTAGTTTAATAGAGGACAGCTATGAGTCTTTGTTTGCTAATACCTCCATTACTTCAAATATTTTGGCTACAGAAAAGGAATTAATGAATAAGGACTTTTTCTTGCTGATAAGTCTGGTAACTATTCTTAGACGGGGTTACAAAATGTATCCAAATTCAGACAAATGCTATATCATAAAGGGTTGCATCACAGCAAAGCTCCATGAGTTATGCATTTAAAATTTTTGACAACTTCAGAAATCCACCATTTCTCATTATCAATGTGTTTTAATACTTGTGATACTAAAGACTGATTTAATTGTCCAGAGAATTATTTTTTCAAGTAAACACTATCAGAGTTCTTCCCACATTTTAGAGTACTGAATACATCATTTATTGTTTGATGAAACTATGCCATAGTCTCTCTTGAACAGACTCTTTATGTTAAATTGTCAGGGGGAGTATTTACTTTTCTATTATTTTTATCACATCCTAAACTCATATCTAATTTTCTACTCCTATCATTTTATTTGTCTTTTAGTGTTACTGCTTATAGCTTTCTTCAGACAGCAAATGACTATATTGTAGCTTTTTCTTCTAAAGATGTTGTTTGTTTTAATGCATGTACTAAATTTATATTATTTGAATGATGTCAACACTAACATCATGTGAACATAAGGCTTTCCAGAAGTTTGGATTCATTGATGTTACAAGAATACTGAATAATGAAATACAAGATATGATTTCTCCATGGTACTCAAATGTGCCAAAAATCTTAAAACATGCACACAGATTTCAGTGATAAACAAAATAAATGCTGGAAATAAAACATACTTGAACTACAATGGAGTCTAGCTTCTTAGAATTTTAGTAAATTTAGTTTATAAATGTAATAAATCTTATACAGGGGACATTTTGTAAATTCTGATGTCAGAAAACACATTCTATTCTAATTTCATAAAAATCATTGTAAATTAAATCACTTGCTGCTTTGGAGATTGCTATGGACTGAATCTTTGTGTCCCCTCAATATTCATTTGTTGAAACCCTAACCCCCATTGTGATGGTATTAGGAGGTGGGACCTTTGGGAGGTGATTGGGTCATGAAGATAAAAGCCCTCATAAATGATATTAGTGCCCTTATAAAAAAGATCTTAGAGAGCTCTCTCATTTTCCACCATGGGGAAACAAGGAGATTCAGCAGTCTGTATCTCAGAAGAGGGCTCTCAACAGAACCTGACCATGCTACAAAATGATATCAGACTGTGAGCATCTAGAACTGTGAGAAATATATTTCTATTTTTTATAAGCTACTCAGTCTATGGTATCTTGTTACAGCAGCCCAAACTGACTAATACGAGATATTTTCAAGTTATCATGACATTAATGAACTAATATTTTAGAAGTCATAGCATGTGAAAAGTTGCTTAAGAGAAAATTCAAAATGTTGTATGTAATAGTGATAACAATAGCAATAATATATATTAAATCAGTAATATAGCTCATATTCAATAGTAGCCTCCATTTTAGTTATGGGAAGGAATTGCCCTGAATTTGACCATTGCACTGAAAAAAAAAAAAAGTATTATAACTACAGTGAACGAAGCTACAAATTCAGATTAGCTTTCAAGTTTTGATTACTGAGAACGGTTTCAAGAACATTGAATGGAGATGTACTTGTTAAACTAAAAATGTGGAATTGATAAAATTAAAGCTCTTTGATCTTTGGTTTCCAAAATCTCACAAGCTTCTTGAGGATGATGTACATGGAGAAGGAAAAAAAAAAAAAACCTGAGGAATGTGATAGCCAGTATTCAAGAATTCCTTTAAAAATATCATATTGAAATACTTCTTGTGTTAGTGAAAATTGATTTTTATAAATGTACTTTTGTGTTCACTTCGGCAGCACATATACTACAATTGGAACAATACAGGTATTAGCATGGCCCCTGTGCAAGAATGACATGAGGAATCTGTGAAGCTTTCCATATTAAAAAATAAAAAAATACTTCTAATATTTTATTAAATTTGGAAAGTAGATACTATTTGTCCTGGATTAAGTACATATTAATAAAGGCATTGTACTGTTTAATTAGGAAGAGACCCGTGTGCTTACCCTTGCTTTCTTGTTCTCTAGTTAGTCTAGGAATCAAGAAGCACAATATTCTCCCTTAAGGCTATAATTTCTGGTAGGGATATTTCACCTACATAGTTCCCTGTTATAGATGTGCATTAAGAAGGGCATGGCTTATGTGGTCTATTTTTTCTGTTAAATATCTGTGGTACTGTATTTACCATGAATATAATGGAAAAAATATACAGCTATGTCTGGGTTGAAGCAGGCCTTTAAGTATGTACCATGAATTTGATTTACCTTGAATGTCCAATTTTCGAAGATATAAAATCACATCTTAGTGATGAAGATAGCATTTAGAACAACATGTGTTTGTTGCATTATCCAGATTGTTAAAATACACTTGGTGAAACCTTAAATACAGTGGAAATTTTTAACTCTAAATGGAGAATAGCAAAAGTGTGTATCTTAGGAAGGAATTTGCATCTCTTTCATTTCTTTAAAAGAGCAGTCTGATGACTTAAGAAAATTTAACATAGCTAGTATTTGATCACATTTTCCTCAGGCCTTTCCCCAGAAGCACAAATTATCTCAACATGTTAAAATCATGGAGTTTATATCCAGAATGATTTTCATATTTAATTCCCAATTTGAATTTATCTCATGATCTCTAAATCTTTGCAAATGCACACCTTTTTTCTTTTGGTATAGTTTAGAGAGGCATATGAAAGGCTAAGTTTTCTCATCTGTTGTGTATTTTTGTTAAGTAGTAGTTTAATATAATATTTAATTACATTTATTTTATATAAATTATATTTAAATTAATATTAAAATATAATACAATATTTGTTAAATAGTAATTTACATGATTAGCCAAGTTAGCTATAAATAGGAGTAATATACAAATATAATTAATGTATAAATAAATAAGACTCTAGCATTAGGAATAACCATAGGGTAGAATTTTTAAAGAGTTTTTATTCCATCATGAAAATACTATTCTAATTTTGAAACTTTATACCATGTCCCAGAAGTCTTCATATCATAGTCTGGCTTCATCTACCTCTCTAGATTTATCATGTACATGCCTTATCTTCTCTTGCCATACAGGTCTTTTTTCAGTGTCTTTCTTGCTCCCTCTTGCCGGAGGGCCTGGGACATTATTCTCTCCCTTTTTTACTTGGTTAATTCCTATTCACTCTTCAGATAATAGTTCAATTATCTTCCTATCAGTGAAGTCTTCCCTGAGCTTTCTATGTAAAATCCTCTTATTGCCTTATTTTCATAACACTTATTCACAGTTGAAAATTTTTCATTTTGTAGATCATTATTTCCTTTATGTCTGTATTTTCCTTACTATTCTTTGTATACCATGACATAGGGATTGTGATAGGTATGTTCATCATTTAATACCTAGTTCCCAGCATAATGCCTTGCACATCTTTTGTGCTTATTGTTGAATGGGTGGACTAAACTTGAAACTGGAAATGCCCATACTGTTTACTTCCCTGCAAATTCTCTTGAACATTTTTGTATTCTCCAGCAGAATACATGAATCTCTGAGAGCTGGAATTGTGTAATATGCAGGGGTTTCTCACAGTGTTTAACATAGTACATTGTACATAGAAGCTATTTGATAAAAGTTTAATACATATCCAGATGACATGAATAAGTAAAAATTATGTGGTTTAAAGTTTATGTATTTAATTCACCTCATACCATTTACAGATGAAAATCAAGAAAAATAGTAATTTTTATACTAATTCTCACCCCTGACATATATTTCCAGTGTCCCCTAAGTTAACATAGAAAATATAGCTGTCAGAGGAGTGCTAAATAAGAGTAAGCAAAAAGAAATTCTCATTTCACACTCTCTGGGGTAAGAGTAGTGTATTAACATGTATGTGTATATATACTCATAGCTTCCTCTTGAGTAGGCACATCAACAGCTGCCGGGGGGATGTGTGCCAGAGGCTTTCAAAAATGCCTAAACACATCATAATCCTTGTCTGGTCTGGCCCCAGTATTTAAAATTCTCACAGTAATTTCTTATTTCATTAGGTAGCCAGAGACTTCTGTTAACAGGATGTCAATTTTGTTATATGAGGTTACTGCACTAAGCAGTAGTGGTCATTTACCCTTGATTTAGGTTAGTGTAACAATAAACCAACAAAGGGTTGCATTTTGTTGAAGGTGAAGAGATCAGCTAAAGTGTGACTAATGGCACACTTCTCAGGATGTGGCATAGATTAGAGAATGAAAGATCGGGGAGGATGGAAGCAATAAATAGGAAGCATTTGACTGGAGGAGAAACAATGAAAGGGAGAAGTACAAGTACAAAATTTGGAACCAGGAGCTAAGGAATTAAAATTCTAGTTGTGTAATGTCCTAGATCTATGATTTTGGGAGAGTTACTTAATCTCTGAAAATCAATTTAGTCAATATCAAATGCTATACAAAAACATTGAAAATTATTTCTATGTAGCAAGGGCAATAAGTATTAGTTGAACCTAAAAAATCATTTATTTTACCATTTATCAAATGTATTAGTTATTCTTATAATATCAATTCAAAATAATGTTAGGCATCAACACTTCCTGGCTAATTTTAATCTCAACTAGGCTAATTGGGCAGCATTTCCAATATGCAGAAACCCATCAACAAGGATCTTTGAGTGCTTAGTATGTACCTCATATAAGGTACTATGAAAAGAATGAGGTATGATTCCGCCATATGAAGAATTTAATATAGAATCCAGGAGGTGGATTTGGTGGACATGGAGAAATAGTTTACAATTATTCATTCAACAGGTTTATTGAATTTTATTATCATACCAAGCACAGTTTAGGCACTAGGATACCAATATGAGAAATTGAAATACTCTTGAAGTGTAAATTTTATAGAGAAGGCAGACAATAGATTAAAAAATAAATCTATAATGGCCAAGTGGAGATAAGTCGTATGAAGAAAAATAGAACAGGGAAAAAGGAATAGTGACAGGGGAGTGATTTTATATACAAATTTTATATATAAAAATTATCTCTATGTTAAGAAAGCATTTGAGCTGACATCTGAATAAGTGAGCAAACAAGCCACATGAATGTCTAGGGGGAAAGATGTTAGGCAGAGGAAAAACCAGTGCAAATGTCCTGAAGCAGGTGCATGACTGGCATGTTTAAGGGATAACCAGGAAGTCATTGTGGCTGGAATGAAATAAAAGGAGAGATAGTAGGACATGAAGTCAGAATGGTAGCAGAGGGGTAAGATCATATAGCCTTATATAGATTATTTTTATAAACCAGGGGCCATCAGGATTCATTGGGTGTCGAACTCATGATCTGACATATATTTTATAACCATCACTTTGGCTGCTGTGAGGAGAATAAAGTGATGAATGAACAAGAGTGGAAGCAGAGAGACTAGTTAAGAAGCTATTGCATTAGTCCAGATAAGAGATGATAGTGGGTTGGAGCAGGGTATTTCATTTATAGTATTGAGTATGAGAAGACTTCGTTTATAAGTATACTAAAATATAGGGCAAAGTTAATCTATTATTAGACTTCCTGTGGGGTGTAAGAGAGAATCAAAGATGACTTCAAAGTTTATAGGGGGGCATCAAATATTTGGATTTATATGTGCTGTTTGTGATGTTTATCAGGCATATGAAAGATGTATTTGGATGGCAAATAAGTACATGAAAAGTTCTCCACATCATTAATTATCAGGGAAATGTAAATTATAATCATGAGATTTTACTACATAACCACTTTAATAGCAAAAATTAAAAACACTGATAAAGTTATAGCAAGGATGTGGAACAATTGGAACACTCATATAATGCTTGTAGGAATGTAAAATGGTACAACTACTTTGGAAAATAGTTTTCCAGTTTCCTATAAATTTAGATATATACTTATTTTCTGACCCAGCATTACTACTGTTAGGTATTTGCTAAGGTATTGTATTTAAGAGAAATGAAAACATATGTCCACAAAAAGACCTATGTATGAATATTCATAACAGCATTATTTATAATAGCTAAAACATGAGAACCACCCAAACATCCATTAACAGGTAAATGGATAAAAAAATTGTTGTATATCCAGAGAATATAATATTATTCAGTATTAAAGAGAAATAAATTACTATTTTATGCAACAATGTGGATGAATCTTAAAATTATTATTCGAAGATTTTAAGAGTACATTATTGTGTGATTCCATTTATTTTTTTTATTTAAATTCGATTAGCCAACATATACTACATCATTAATTTCAGATGTAGAGTTCAATAATTCATCAGTTACACATTACACCCAGTGCTCATCACATCATGTGCCCTCCTTAATGCCCATCACCCAATTACCCTGTCCTGACACTCACACCCTCTCCAGTAACCCTCAGGTTATTTCCTATATTTAAGAGTTTCTCATGGATTTTCTCCCTCTCTGATATCTTCCCATTCAGTTTTACCTCCCTTCCCTTATGATCTTCTGCACTGTTTCTTATGTTCCACATATGAATGAAACCATATGATAATTGTCTTTCTCTGATATACTTATTTTGCTCAGCATAATACCCTCCAATTCCATCCATGTCAATGTAAATGGTAAGTATTCATCCTTTCTGATGGATGAGTAATATTCCATTGTATCCACATCTTTATCCATTCATCTGTCGTTGGACATCTGGACTCTTTCCATAGTTTGGCTGTTGTGGATATTGTTGCTATAAACATTGGAGTGCAGGTGCCCCTTCGGATCAATATATTTGTGTCTTTGGGGTAAATACCTAGTAGTGCAACTGCTGGGTCGTAGGATAGCTCTATTTTTAACGTCTTGAGGAACTTCCATACTGCTTTCCAGAGTGGCTGTACCAGTTGACATTCCCACCAACAGTGTAAGAGGGTTCCCCTTTCTCCA